GTGTTTTATATGTTTTAATCTTAATAATCAATTCCTCTGAAATACATTTGTGAAATTTGCTTAAGATATAATTCATTCACTAATCCCATTTATCATTTACCACTGAAAAATGCACAATCTTAATCATGTAGCTTAAATTAAAGCTATGCAGATGAGGAACAAAGAAAAAAACAATCTTTGTTCACAGATGACATAATTGTATATGTAGAAAATCCTAAGGAATCAATAACAATAACAAAACATCCTGGAACCAATAAGCGTTATAGCAAGATTTCAGGATACAGGGTTACTATATAAAAATTACTTTCTTACATACCTACAATGAGCAAGTAGAAAATGACCTAAAAACATAAGGCCATTTAGGTTAGCTTGCTTCCAAAAGAAATACTTAGTTATAAATCTAACAAGGAGGATACAAAATTGTATAAGTAAAACTACAAAATTCAGATGAAAGATACAAAGAACTAAATAAATGGACAGATTTTTCATGTTCTTTAATTGGAAGACTCAACACTGTGAAGATGTCAGTTCTTCCCAATGATATCTATAGGTGTGATGGAAAACCAATAAAAATCCCAGCAAGTTATTTCGTGGATATTGACAAACTGATTCTAAAGTTGATAGGTAGAGGCAAAGACCCAGAATAGCCAAGACAATATTTAAGATGAAAAACAAAGTTGAAAGACTGACATTATCTGACTTTAGGACTTACTACAAAACAATAGTCAAGACAGTGTGGTGTTGATGAAAAAATAGACAAACATATAAATGGAACAGAATAGAAATCCAGAAATAGACCCTTGTATGTATAGGAAACTGATCTCTGACAAAGGAGCAACATAATACAATGGAAGAAAATAATCTTTTCAGAAAACGGTTTGGGACAAATTGATATCATATGCAGAAAAAAGAAAATGACACAGACATTACATCCTTAGAAAAAGTAACTCATAATGAATCAAAGACCTAAACATGAAATACATAACTTAAAACTCCTACAAGTTTGTGGGTGCCTCAATGACTCCGTCGGTTGAGTGCCTAACTCTTGATTTCAGATCAGATCATGATCCAGGGTCATGGGATTGAGCCCCATGTCAGGCTCTGAACTGAAGCATGGAACCTGCTTAAGATTCTCTCTCTCCTTTTGCCTTTCTCTGTCTCCCCTGCTTGTTGTTTTTTTTTTTTTTTCTTTTTCCTCTCTCTAAATAGATAGATATAGATAGGTGATAGAGAGAGAGAGAGAGGTAGAGAGATCCAAGTCCTTCCTGGTAACACCAATGAAAGTCTAGTTGACCTTGGGTGTGGCAATGACTTTTTATATACAATAACAAAATAATGAACTGTTATCTAAAATATACAACAAACTCTTAAAATTCAACAATAATAATACAATTCAATTTAAAAAATGGACAAAAGATCTACAAAAGATCTAACAGAAACCTCACCAAAGAAGACCTACCTATGGGAATAAGAATTTGAAAAATTTTCCAACACCATATGTCCAGGGAAATACAAATGAACACAAGACACTACCACACCACTAATGATTTGAAGCAACAGGAGCTCTCGTTTACTGTTAGTAGGAATGCAAATGGTACAGCCACTTCAGAAGTTTGACAGTGTTTTACAAAACTAAACAGACTTTTACCATGTGATCCAGCAGTTATGCTCCTTGATCTTTACTCAAGGAGTTGCAAATTTATTTCCAAACAAAAACCAGTAGACAGATGCTTATAGCAGTTTCATTCATAATCATCAAAACTTGGAAACAACTAAGATGTCCTTTGCAGGTGAATGTATAAACAACTGTATACCCAAAGAATGCAGTATTATTTAGCACTAAATAAATATGACCTATCAAGCCATGAAAAGACATGGAGAGTCCTTAACTGCCTATTACCAAGTGAAGAAGATAATCTGAAAAGACTATATACTATATGATTCCAATTATATGACTTCCTGAAAAAGGCAAAATTACAGAGACAGTAAAGGCAAAAATACAGAAAAAGTAAAAAGATCAATGGTTTCCAGGCACTGAGGGAGGGAGAGATGAATGTGTGGAGCAGAAAAGATTTTCAAGGCAGTAAAACTATTCTGATACTATAATTCTGAATACATGTAATTAGACATTTGTCCAAACTCATAGAATGTACAGCACCAAGAGTGATTCCTAATGTTAGTGTAACAGAGGACTTTGGGTGATAGTGATATGTCAGCATAGATTAATAAGTTGTAGCAAATGTGCCATACTGATGCAGGATGGTGACAGTGGGAGAAGCTGTGTGTGTGTGTGTGTGTGTGGAAAGGAAGGAATAGGGGGAAGGTACGTGGTAACTACTTCTTGATTTTGCTGTGGACCTAAATCTGCTCTAAAGACACCTATTTAGAAGGAAAAAAGAAAGTTACTATGCATTGGCTGTGTTCTGAGATGCCCCACTTACAGACATCTGGGCAATGTGTTAGATAGAGATTATTTGACTATGGCAATTTGATGAACATTCTCCAGTTACCTGCGCACCCTTGAGGTAGGTCATAGCTAAGCACACAGGCGCATCCTCCAGAGGACTGTGAGGTTCAGTGGGTTCTTAGACAATCATTTCTGGGAAGTACGTGTCAATTCTGGATATACCGTTTTCTTTCCATAAGCAAATTTGGCTGACAAGTTTCTTCTCATTTTCTGTCAGACATAACTGTTATGAAAGAAGGGATATAATGGCAATGGAATAAAATTATTGAGATGTGTACTCTCAAACAGGGGTTGGACTGATTTCTCTGATTCTCTTAAATGAATAACATTCAAAATGTGTAAATTTGTCAGGGTGCCTGGGTTGCTCCATTGGTTAACCATCCGACTCTTGCTTTCAGCTCAGGTCATAATCTCACAGTTCATAGGTTCAAACTCCATGTCAGGCTCTACACAGACAATGTAGAGCCTGCTTGGGATTCTCTCTCTCTCCCCCTTTCTCCCTGTGTGTGTGTCTCTGTCTCTCAAATTGCTTAAATATATTATTTATCATTCTCTTTGCAATGATTGATTTTACTTTTATATTTTTATATTCGGCAAATAACACTTTAAAGATTTCATTGTATAAAATCACCCCTTTCAAACTTCTACACACCAGAGGCAAGTCCCACTTATAATGTATTCTTTTCAAAACAACATCTTTATCTTTTTCAAATATTAGAAAGTATATGTTTCTATCACAAAATAGTTTCATAAATTCTCAGCTTGTTCATTTCTGCATCAATTCAATTCCTTCTTATATAATTATCATACATGATAAAACATTGTTCTTTGTAATAAGGATGCTTGAGGCTTTTTCATATGCATGAATTAGATGAATCATTTATTACCATATTATTATAATTTCTTTTGATAAGAATAATTTTCATTTCTATTTAGCTTCAGGAAAATTTTCCTGAACTCCCTCAATTAAAAATTCACAAATATTGAAAGTTGTGAGATCACTTTTCCTGGTTCCCTAGGCTTCTCCTGAAGTCATTACACATACAATCAATTTGGTAAAACAACAGTAACAAAAATCGCTGCAGTGTCGTCTGTTCCGAATAACTGATTGACTAATCCTTTCCACCTTTAAAAGACTATTTTTAGTTGGAATATACATACAACCCTATGTTCTTTCATTGTATCAACATATTCTCTATTACAGTGTTTGTTAAACTCTATAGTTAGCAGTCCACTGTCCCATGAATATTACTGTTAACTAATCAGTGGGGCTCGATCCCTTTCTCAAAAATGACATGATCCAAATATTTTTAATAAAAGTAAAAAGGTGGTTGTTAAGTGTTGACCTATGTATGTAGTAGTAAATATGTTTATATTATATTTACATGCATATATAACATAAATGTAAAGACATATATATACATATACGTATATACTTATTATATAGCTTATCTAGATGAGAACTTTTTGTATAATACAGTTAATAGTTTTGGCCCTCTGGTAAATGGATTTCCATTTGTAGATTTAAGAATTTATTGACAAAGCTATCTGATTTTTGTGTGTGTGCGCACACATATACCTATGGGTGATACAAATGGAGTTATAACACATTTTTTATCTCTTTATTGAATCCAAGTACTATTTGATAAAAGAATACCTATAATGTCTCCTTTGCACTGTGAAATAAAGAATGTGACTTGTACCTGTGATTTTTGGCATCAATTTCATCACTTTATTTTGCTTAGGTACTTACATCTAGTTCTTATCGTAGCTGCTATTTCCTGATAAAAATAGTGAATTTTGTAATCTTGATAAATGTTAAAATGACTCCCGTCTATAATCTTTGCTCAAGTATCCACAATTCTTCAGTGTTTTCCATCATCCAACTTTGACAGCCCTGTCAGGAAGCTATGTAAATTGTTCTGTAAGGAGGAAAATTAACCTCTTCTCAAATCATCTTAACTGACATAATTGAGGAGCACAACTTGTAAAATATTTGGTACTCCAGCAGAAGAACAGGCTTGGGCCATGGGGCTGCTCTGCAAGGCACGCCAAAGAACACAAAACAATGGGCATCTCAATGTACCACTGATAGAATGGTTTAAGACATGTGGCTGCAAATGAAGGGGTCGAAAGAGGTGGTTTTAGTAGCTTGTTTAAGGTATTGTTTGTCTCAGAAGTGGATTTCTCACGAATGTATTTCATTGAAAAATGCACTTGTTGGGGCACTTGGGTGGCTCAGTTGGTTGAGCATTGGACTTCGGCTCAGGTCATGATCTTGCAGTGTGGGAGTTCGAGCCCCACCTCAGGCTCTGTGTTGACAACTCAGAGCCTGGAGCCTGGTTCAGATTCGGATTCTGTGTCTCCCTCTCTCTGCCCCTCCTCTGCTCACCCTCTGGTTCTGTCCCAAAAATAAATAAACCTTAATAAATGTTTTTAAATGTACTTCTTAAAATATGGGGGGAAATGATACATCTGAGGTGCTTCTCATTTAATATATCATTTGTACTCTTTTGTTTAAAATATGTTGCAGGAGTTATTAGAACTGCCTTACATAATATGGACAGAGAAGCCAGAGAACACTATTCTGTGGTCATTCAAGCCAAGGACATGGCCGGGCAAGTCGGGGGGCTTTCAGGATCGACAACGGTCAACATCACCCTGACGGATGTCAATGACAACCCCCCACGGTTTCCTCAGAGTATGTACTTGCTTCTTATGATTGACTTTTATCGCCTTTCATTTACATAAAACAAAATTAAATACTTAACTCATGTTTCCATCTTAAATGGGAATATTTTGTTTTTGTGTTCTCTACTGCCCCTCCTCTAAACAATAGTAAAGAAATCACTCCACTTACTGTCCCCTGAATCTGGTGGTTAGTTGTCATGTGTTAAAAAATACTGTTTCAGCTGGTGTTATATTTAAATATTAAAAGTGATACAGTAGTAGTTCTAAGTACTGATATCTGGCATTTGCTGAAGCGGTTATGTATGTATTACTAAGGCACACAGAGAGGTATCCAAAATACATTCTGAGGTGGACATTCTACTCTTGCAAAAAAAATGCATATATGTTTTCTGTGACTGAAATTTTAAAAAATCTTCATGTTATGTGCATGAATGCCCCAACACACACACACACACACACACACACACACACACACCACCCCACAAAAGGTGAGGGTAACACTATAAAGTGAGCTCTCAGAGTAGAAGATGAACTTTGTGAATGGAGGGCACAAACTTTCAGACAATTCAGGGCGAGAAGGTGTCAGTTCTGTAACTTTGTTTTTTTTTTTTGTTTTGTTTTATTTATTTCTGAGAGAGAGAGAGAGAGAAAGAGAGAGAGACAGTATGAGCAGGGGAGGGTCAGAGAGAGGGGGAGATACAGAATCTGAAGCAGGCTCCAGGCTCTGAGCTAGGTGTCAGCACAGAGCCCGATGTGGGGCTCGAACCCAAGAACCGTGAGATCATGACCTGAGCCGAAGTTGGACGCCTAAAAGACTGAGCCACTCATACGCCCCCAGTTCTGTAACTTTCAAAAGAAATGGTGTTTATGACTTCCTCAGAGTGGGAAAGAAATATTTTTCAGCATTTCTAATGTGGTAGAAACTGCAGATGGCGTTTTATAGAATAATATCTAATTATCACAAAAATCCTGTAGGGGCGCTATCCCTTATACCTTCCTGATACATGATGTTTAAAAACTGTAATAAAGTAGACACCATGGTATATCAACACAGGCTCTTCACAAGTTTGTGTGAAATAGCTTCCCTCACTGTATCTCTTACTATTTCTCTCCATACACTCTGGGCCTAGCCACAGTCAAATACTTCCTGTTCCTAAAACATAATACCCTTACACATTTTTGATTCAACCCATAATTTTCCACACTCACATTTCTCTGTTTAAAAGCCCTGTTACAATTTTCTCTGAAGTTTGTTGCAGAATTAACAGAGTTAATAAATCCTTGTTTTCTGTTACATGGTACTTTAATGTTTTATTTATATCTATAAGTACATAGGCTTCTTACTACCCTAAGTCTAAGTAAGAATGATGCTTGAATTGTCTATGTAAATTTCAGTGTTCAGATCAGTACCCACCCCTTGCAGGATGAATGAGCGAAGGAGTCAAATTTAAATACTTTGTCAAACTACCGCTGTGAAAAGACATCCAAGTCAAGTTCACAGGTAGAATCAATTTTAAAATACTGGTTCTAGAGATGGAATGTGTGACCTGCTTCATTCATGTGTTCTTTGCTCTATGAAGGAAGTAGGTTAGAAGAAAATTAAAAATCATAGATAAGTCCACATGACATTAAACCACAAAATTAAATTATAAGTCATTTTATAACTAGCATTGCATTTTTGTATTTTATCACTTGGTCCGCACAATGTGCATATACACATGTAGCAGTCAAAGTCAACTACTATTCTTTTATAAAATAAAGACACTGAAGTTCAAACATTTTTTTAATATAATGAACAATAATGGTAACCTCAATCAAATATAAACTTTACTATAGTTTACAACAGCGACTTGTCTACCTTATTTTCAAGCAGATCCCACTACTACTATTTTAAAGATATATATTTATATCATAGCCCCTAATAGAATTAGTCTTTAGTGATACATTATCAGGATTCAGTAAATGCTTGGGTGTGATACAAATATCATCTCTCACTCTTCCTCTCCCTCCTTCTCTCCATAAACTAATTTTTAAATTTATAAGGCCATTAAAATTGATTTTCAAAATCAATAGAAAACTATAATTGTGATAAATGTAGAGGAATGATTCCTAATTTTATTTTTTAACATTTATTTATTTTTGAAAGAGAGAGTTGGGGGAGAGGGAAGAGAGAGATGGACGGAGGATCCAAGCGGGCACCACGCTGACATCAGCGGGCCCAATGTGGGACTTGAATTCACAAACTGTGAGATCGTGACCTGAGCTGAAGTCAGATATTCAACTGACATAACCACCCAGGCACCCCTTATATTGATTAATAACAGGGTTATTGTGGAAACATCAGTTTATGGAGAAAACAGTTATTTTACCTGACAAGGAAACAGAATGCATGTACACTCTCTGAGTGAAGTCAGTGTATTATCCAAGGGGGTCTTCCTTTCTTCAGTCAGTAGTGGTCTGGGCAGAATGTCAAGCAGAACCCAACCCTGCCACACTGTGAGATACACTTAGAGTTTAGAAACAGAGATGCTATACAGCCAGAACCTCACACTCCGACTTGCTGAAGAGACTTTGAATCTGTCCTCCTTTCACACTAAACACAATGCTACTTTCAAATTTTAGTGTCACCATGACAACAGTGGCTTGCAGTAAATTATTTTTTAATTTATTTGTGATCATCATAACTCATCATAAGCCATCAAATGGCTACATATATCATGGGAAAGTCTGTAAATGTTTGAAGGGGGAAGTGATATATTATGAGGACTTGTGTTCATGAAGCACCATGAAATGCACAAATCTTTATACAATTCAACTTATGTAAAGATCATATCCAGTTATCAGATGGGTCCAGTAATTTGTTTCTCTTAAGATGTAACATCTTTACACGTTTCCTGATGGCCTTCTCATATCGCCATCGTCTCAGAGAGCCATTTTTCTTACACACTACTGTGATCGACTCTAGTGTAAACATCTGCATATAAAACTGCAAAAATATTCCTTCAAAGCATTTTTCCCTTTTTTCTTTCTTCTGTTCACCTGCCATGCCCTGAGAAAGTGAATCAATTTGTTATATCTTGTATATCACTTTGTTATATCTTAATTTAAGGTTATCGTTGTATTTTAACTTAAAATAAATGCACTCTGACTAACTTGGAAAACTCAGGAATGAACTAGACTGATAGTTTGCTTTACAAAGTCTTTACACCAGGGAGTTGCAAACCCAGTGGCCTAGGATGCATAGCAAATAAAGATCCAGGCCTAAGCAGGCTGCCTCTCAGGGTCAGGGAGGCAGAAGGTAGGAGAGACACCAGTTGGTTCATGCCCCGATTAGAGAACAGCCACTGCTCGATTATAGATAATGCGTACATGTGGCTGGGAAAAGATTAAGGAAGAGAGCCGCTTGCAAGTCTCACAGTGAAAGAACAAATCAGTCCTTCCATGGCTTGAATCTTTACTCAAAGAGCACAAGGAACGCCCAGTTCTCCTTCACAGAAAAATTTTGGGGTATAAAATTCTTCAAGATAAGTCCTTCTGTTGAAAGGAATATACTGCACATCATAAGATTCTTACTATGCCCTATTTTGGTTTTGACTATGTTACAGTTCTATTACAGTTATTGCTTAATTTATTGTTAAGTAAAAAGTCCCTGACCTCCATTATTCTGTAAAAATAATATACATATAAAAATCAATAACTTTCATGAAAATTCATAAAGCAAACCTTCTGAACCCTAAATGAAAAGACCTGTATTTTGACAATTGCCTTTGAGTAAGTAAGAATGAATAACATATTTGCGGAAAGAGAAAAAAAAACACATACATGTCAAATAATCACAATAAAATGGTAGAAATTTGATGACTTAACAAAACTTCCCTGAAGAACTTGAAATGATTGCAAAACTGTACACCATCCTGCAATATTAGCTCATTTGTGACTAGAATTGATACAGTGCTGTGGAATATTTGGAGAATCAACGCCTAATAGTTCAACAGACATTCATGCTTTTGTTAATAGCAAAGTATTTTAGAGGAAAGATTTAGAGGAAATTGGTTCCAAATTTACTATTTACATTTTCATGAAAATCAACCTAAATGGCGTATAATACATTCAGCACCAATATTTTATTTGAAATAGTAATTGAAAGACACAAAGAAGAAGGCTTCTCCTCTGATCAAATATGAAATGTATGTTTTAATTATCAGCAAGGTGGTGTTTCTCTAGTGTATTTTAAAAAAATATATCTAGGGGCACCTGGGTGGCTTAGTCGGTTAAGCGTCCGACTTTCGCTTAGGTCATGATCTTGCGGTTCGTGGGTTCGAGCCCCGCGTCGGGCTCTGTGCTGACTGCCAGCTCAGAGCCTGGAGCCTGTTTCAGTCTGTGACTCCCTCTCTCTCTGACCCTCCCCTGCTCACGCTGTCTCTCTCTCTCTCCTAGAAATAAATAAAAATAAAAACATTTAAAAATATATATATATATATATATATAGTTCATTTTTTTTCTTTTTCGAGTTTTTATTGAAATTCCAGTTAATTAACATATAGTGTAAAATTAGTTTCAGGTGTAGAATTCAGTTGTTCATCATTTGCACACAACACCCAATGTTCACCACAAATGCCCTTCATAGTTAATGGCTGTTTTATGGTTTGACTCTCTCTCCTCCCACCCCAATTTCATCTATTTTGTTTTTTAATTTCACTTAGCATAATACTCTCTAGCTCATCTACTTCATTGCAAATGCCAAAATTTCTTCATTTTATGGCTAAGCAATATTCCATTGTATATTCCATTGTGTGTGTGTGTACACACACACACACACACACACACACACACACACACCCCACATCTTCTTTATTCATTCATTGGTTGATGGCCATTTAGGCTCGTTGGACTCTATCCATAGTTTGGCTTTTGTAGATAATGCTGCTATACATCAGGATGCATGTATCATTTCAATTCAGTATTCTTGTGTGCTTTGGGTAAATACCTACTAGTGCAATTGCTGGATTG